CACACACACACACACACACACACACACACACACACACACACACACACTGAGGTAATGTATTAATCCATATCCTCATGCACACATACCAGGTACTCTCAAATAAACGTTTCTGCAATAAAACTGCCCCAAATTAAATACCTTTTCTACAGGAGCTTTGTTTTGCCCTGCAGACTGATGTCGGGGTATGTGCAGAGGTTTTTGTCATCCTCTGATAAGCCCTGGGGGAAAATGGTGACCCTGAGAAAAGCAGGAGGGCAAATGGAAAAATAAAATATATTGGAAGAGAGAAGAGGAAACAAGTAAGGTGAAAACTGAGGCATGGCAAAACAGCTGGTGAAGTATTAAGGAAAGGAAGATTGGTTTTGTTGATTGAAAGAAAGAAATTGGAAGGTAAAACTGTAATCATGGTTGTCAAAAGGGAATTTGTGTCAGGATGGAAACCTGAGAATACTGAATGTCTTACCTGAAATAAAAACTTTTTTTTTCATCTGTATTCATGGAAATCTTAAAGAAAGAGCCACATAAACATGCTGATTAAAACAAATAGAACACAGAGACTATTGTGGAAGATTTATATTCACGTCTTTTAATAAATTCTGGCAGTTCTCTGGGTTCCTATGACAAAAATTTAAGAAAAAAATTATAATTTCATGAAATCTTAATTTGTTTTGATAAGCAATAAAAAACTTGTCTTATTATTTGACATCAATTGTCATAATTTTCATTTTTTAAATCTTTACAAACATCCAACATATATTTTAGATACAACAGATGTAATAATAACAACCTCATGGGACAGGAAGAAATCCAGTTGTCTTCCAGTAGTAAATGTGTTTGTTGTCAAAGGCACTCAGTGCAAAATATTTAATCAAACACAATCAAGATGATGCTGAACTTTATCAAAAGGTGCAGTTTGACAGAGCTTACTCCAGCAGAATTTCAGATATATTGATGTGTAGTTCTGAAATGCAGGTATGCACTCAGTGTAAACAAAACACTCATATCATATCAACAAATCCGAGTTAAAATTCTTACCAATACAATAAAATTGTCAAATTGCTACAACCCAGATAGGTCAACAAAGTCCATGCTCATTAATCCAGGTATACAATCCAACAATTTTCAGTCAGGTCATCTGGAAAGTTTTGTTTTTTGTGTGCGCTGAAACGTTTCACCGTCCATCCAGAAGCCTTCATCAGTCAAGGAAACACAGAACACAAAACTGATTCTTCCCCCTAACAGCTTACTCCAAAGTGAAACAAGCCAGTTATGTTGGTGCTAAGATGGTCTCTTTGGCACGCCCCCTCCTCCAGTGCTGGCCCTCTCCCTCGTCGACAGTCATGTCAAACTGAACTTCATGTCATCCATGAAGACCAGATAGGTCTTCATGGATGTAGTTGCCATTGATGTCCTATTTTCAGTCACTTTGGCTATTTCTGTATGTAAACAAAAGCAAGTGGTCATGGGCTGCCATTTGCACGTTTTGCTAACAGACTTTTCATTATGTAGATGAACAGATACTAGATTATATTCATCAATTAAAACGGATTCTTCATTTTTCTGGACTGAATAAAACGTGCATTGAATTTAATGAAATGTAACGTGAGACGTCATTTATCTTTGACCCATCAAAATGAATGCGGTCATTTATTTTACAGAATCAAAGTTTAACATCAAACATTTACATTAATTTGGCAAATATGAGAATAACAACATAATCAATCAGCTTTACAACCAGGAAAACCATACGGCCATGATTTTCCGTTGCTTCACCACAGACATTAATGAAAACTGTACAATTATGATCAATTATCCACACGGCGGTGGATGAGCACTTTACACAGACATTTCTAAATTATCTGGAAGGATTTCTACTTGAGAGAAGAATTTAAAGATGGAAATGAAGTTTAAAGGGAGTAAAAGATGGTGTGTGAGGGGGAGTGTTGACCAGAACCGACACTCTCCATTCGAACCCAGCTTTTCCTCGGTACGCTTGGTAGGAAACTTGACTCATTACCTTTCTGAAGATAAATCAGCAGATATGGAGGTCCAGTTAACGCTACCTGTCCAGCGTCTCCATAGGATGGCTGTGACTCGTCCGAAGTAGTGACGAGATTCCGTCCGACACAAGCTCACATCAGCAAGTGGACTTCACATGAGTGGAGTCCTTCAGAAGTTCCACTCAGAGGTGGAAGATGTTATAATCCAACTCGGAAGAGCCTTATCATGGCTGGACTTCTGTTCTCCCAAACGACTTCACAGAACTGCGAACATCTCAGAACTTCTCAGCGCCTCACCGAACTGGAGAACTAGGAAGTACCGGCATTTTAAAGAGCTCTACTTCCGGTATATTTGAGCGTCCCTGATTGGTCCATATCAACCAGACAGGGGTGTGTTTTGTGATGTAAGAGGTTACTAGAAGTCAGAAAACAGCAAGAATTGTTATGGAACAGATTAAACTGTTCTCAGACAGGCGAGAGAAATATTTTGGCGAGTTTGGAGAAACAAGTGCCAACTCCTCTGTTTACGTCTGAGAGGATTTTAAAACAAGACACATGTCTGCTTCGACTCCGACCTTGGACAAAACTTACACTTGCTCATTCAAAGACAGAAATCAGAAAATACATGATTACTCTGTAACCGGCCTTAACATGAATTCTAACTTTGCATGAGGATTAAAAAATCATTACACTGTTTCACAGTTAATAAAATTGATTAGTTCACTGCAACATCTAAAATGGTTTGAACTAAGACACTTTGATTATCAACATTTGTAAAATAGTATGATAATAAAAAGAGAGTGTTCTTTCACTTGAATTTTCAAGAAAGAAAGTCTCAGGATGGGTGAACCTGTATTTCTGGATTCAAATCAATGAAATGACAGTTTATGTCCCACAAGGTTCTTAAGGTCAAGGGTTTTGACCTTAGGCTTAGTTTTGACATCAGGTTAAGTTCACTACAATTAAAGACACAATTAATTATCCATCCATCCATTATCTTTACCCACTTCTTCCTTTTTGAGTCACGGGGGTCACTGGTGCTCATATCCAGCCAACAATGTGCGAGAGGCGGGGGACACTTAATATGAAAAAATTGCAAGACAAATGTTTCCTACTTAACTTATATTTCTTGGATTGGTCGTTCTGACAGAGAAATGCGTATCTTGTAACTCTTTGTAGTCCAAGAATTGCTTCATGTTTTGTTTACTAAAAGACAGGGGTGATTCTAGAATCTGCCCCTTAGGGGTGCTTAGCCCCCAGTGTTGACAATGGCTCTTGACTTGAACAACGTAGTGGCTATTGGCATCAGAAGCATTTGTAATGTAACACCAAAAAGTGTGTGTGTTGGGGGGGGGGGGGGGGGGGCTAGGTTTGTTTGCTTTTTCTGAAATCCACAATCATCTCCTTCGTCTTCTTCACATTGATGTGAAAGTTATTTTTCATGCGCCAGCTCTCTAGATGTTCCACCTCCTGCCTGTAGCCGAACTCATCATTGTGTGTGATGCATCCAACCACCGTTGTATCGTCTGCAAACTTTATAATATGACATCCTGAATGGGTAGGTGCGCTGTCAGTCGTATGTGAGTAGAGTGAAGAGGAGGGGGCTCAACACACAGCCCTGAGGGAAGCCAGTGCTGAGGGTAATGGTGGAGGAGGAGAAGTTGCAAAATCTTAATGATAGTTTATTTTATTTTAGGGGGCTGACTTAAAATTTAGGGGTTCTTCAGCACTCCCCTAAAGAGGCTAAAATTGTTCCCTGCTTAAAGACTTGTTTGTTCTGTATCACAGATTATGGCGTGCACCAACAGACAATCATTTGAAGATCACTAAGCTAATTAACTTTTCTTTTAAATTCTGTCTTTCTTTGCAGCTTGTAGGCCTGGCTTCTTCAAGGGAAATGCTGGGAACTTCAAATGCCCCAAGTGTCCTCTGCACAGCTCCAGCCATGACCAGGCGGCCACCATCTGTCACTGCGATAAAGGCTTCTACAGGGCCAACAAAGACCCCCCGACGATGCCGTGCACAAGTTAGTCAGCCTTTAAATGAAAAATTATAATCCTATGAAACATTTAAAATGTCCATTTGTCCGACTCGTGCCGTATTCCAGTCTTTCTGTCCATCGTTTTTGCGGTTGATGCTAATTTTCAGAGGTTTTCCAAAACAAACTGTATTGGAAAACAAAACTAAAGTGTTCCTTTTGTCCTTGAACGTGCTTAAATTATAACTCCAACTCTCTGTTCTGATTCACTGCTTTAGCAAACAGTAACAATTTATCACGGGAAGCCCAAGTATAAAGTGGAAAAGTTTCTCATTAAATCAAAACAACGTCACTTATTCAACAGGCCATTTGATCAGATTTATCCAATTGTACAGAAACATCTCTCAGCACTTTGGTCTGTTATTCCACATCATGCAGTAGGATCCAATTAAACATAATTTATTACAAGCAATCAAATGTGTATGATGTACTTTTAGAAATCTGTCTCAGTCACCACATTAGGTGCTGTGCAGAGACATGACCTTATCCTCTTACCTAGAGTAAAGTTAAATTAATTGTACTAAAGGGATAATTCTGTTCAAAGAAAGGCATGTCTCAAATGCCGTGTTGTGAACCTTTATGCTGTTTCAGTTATTCACTTTAAAAAGTCCTTTACAGAAGTAGTTTTGTTTGAACATTACTGCTTTGGACTGGAGTATTTGAAGTGCTTTTAGAGCTGTTGTAAGCACTCTTTGAGTGTGTTGTTGCTCTCTACATCTTATAAAACACCCAAAACTTCATTTTAGTTCAAGCACCACTCACCGGTGCCGGATTCTTTTTTGAGGTGGGGGGGCATTGGGGTGTATTGTCACCTTGCACTCGCTGTTCATACGCACCTTGAATGTCAGGCGCACATGTTTAATTTAGCCAAATGGTAATGCACGGTAAATGGGTACTTTCACAGTCATCAGATTTGGAAAAGTTTGCAACAAAAGTCTTTCTTTTGAAAATGAAAAAAAAAAAAGTAACAAACTACAGTCATGAATAAGAAGTTTTTTTTTTCACAGAGCGGTGTAGATCCTTTGTAGATATTTCGCTGTTTATGTCATTTGACCGTTTGTGGAGAACAAAAGAGCCAATTTTTTCACTTTTTTTGTTTTTACACTAACAACCGTTGTCTTAAAAAAAAAAAAGAAAAGAAAAAGGCAGAAGTTTATTGGGGAGGAAACGATTCCGTGCGCAATGGATGTCTGGAGAGATGATGTGGCGACTGTTTCTGAGTGACATGCATTGAGAAATCGGAACAGACCTGCTGCCACAGGTCCTGAATGATTGTTTTTTTCTTCGGTTATTTCAGAGATGAGAAGGAGAATTCTCTTATTCTCCTCCTCCTGGCTAAATTTTCTCCAAAGCGACCTGCCATCGCAGCGCAGTTGGAAACTCCAGCTGCTTTTGGACGAGAAAAAAATGACAAACTATCCACACAATTATTTGTACCCTGACAGCAAAAGTTATCTGCTCTGGGCCAACTATAGGTGAGGGTTTGGCCCAGACCCTTAAATGGACTTGGGCCCGGGGTCTCTTGTTTTCTATGGCCCATAACTGGTGTGGATCTAGGTCAGAGTCAGAGGTGGCCAACAGGTGCTGTAAATACTGCATTTGGGCCAGATGTGGCACAAATACATAATTGTTATATAATTTTTAGGCTGATTTGGTCCAGACATGGATCGGATCAGAGCCAAAACATTTTTTGCAGTTGTCAGGCAGGCTTATGATCCCAGACCGACCCGGAGCTGGAGCATGAGCGTAAACCCTCCACAATTATGCGGATCTGGCAACTTGTAAACCGATTTGGCCCAGATTTGAATTCTGTAGGTTTTCTTGTGTTCCTGTCTGTATGTAGACACACACACACACACACACACAGACGTCAGTCACATCTTATCAACGTTGGGTGTAGCCTGTGTCAATGTCTGGGACCAGCTGACAGGCAAGGGCCCCCTGGGCCCCCCGTTCCGGCGCCACTGGTGCCACTTCAATGTCACGTACACTTCAACATTTAGAGCTTATGCTCGTTAACAAATAAAACATTGCCTAAAACCTATTTAGTGGAAATTTTATCTGGAAATAATCACTTTTTGAAATGTTTTGCTTTAACTTTAAACTTTATGTTCAACTAAAACATGGCAGCAAAATCTCACAACATAAATACAAATATGTTGTTAAAGTTAGATAAACCATTTGGTGGGATAGCTGGAGACTAGTTTGCAAACGTTACTCGTGACAGAGGCTGCAAAATGTCTCAAAACGTTCTCAGTTTCCTGTCATGTGACACATTTTCACTCAGAATAGTCCCAGAGTCCTGGACGTCCTGAAATGAGTCTGTTTTTAGATTAGTTCTAAAAGTCGATGCAGGGTAGAGCTGCATCCACTTTTCAGCTATATTTGAGTGCATCTCTTTATGTCCAAACATGAAATAAAAGACTCATTACGGAGTGTGGAAACTTTTGTCAGTTTCATGCCTGAAACCAACAAGTCGCCTGCTGGAACAGAACACAGTGCACTGAAAGCTTTACCACTCACACGCCTACACACGGATATTCAAGGAGTCTCACAAAACTTCAGCTTCTTTTTGCCAAATCAGATCATTTACGGCTTCGGAAACTAAAAAAAAGCACCGTGGACCGGCAGGATTGTATCAATGAAAATAGCTGACACCGGATTAGACACGGCAGTACAAGCTGAAAGCCAAACACCTACTCTACATGGTAAAGAATCAAACTATTTTTTTGGTTGTTAACTTGTGAAATGTGTGACAATGTTTAAAAAATAAATAAATCCCTTTTTAAGTTCTTTGTTTAATTTGTTTTGTCTTCAGGGCCTCCATCAGCTCCCAGGAACCTGGTTTCACTGCTCAACGACACGGCTCTTTTCTTGCACTGGATGCCTCCCGCTAACACAGGAGGAAGAAGCGACGTCACGTACAACATCTTGTGCCAAAGATGTGATGGAGGTGACAGTGGTGTAATGCAATGTGAGCCGTGTGAGCCTGATCTGCGCTTCATCCCTCGTCCACTTGGTATCACTGGTACATCCGTGGCAATACTGGATTTTGCGATGCACGCCAACTATACATTCCACGTGGAAGCGGTGAATGGCGTCTCTGAGCTGGGTGTGGCTGCACGCTCACTGGCAAACGTTACCGTCACCACACATCAATCTGGTAAGTTACAGAGCTCTTAATTCAGTTTATTCTCCACAAATTCACTGTGGCAGGTGCAACAAGAGTATTCTTCTCCCACTGCAAGTTTGTTTTATTGTACTGGTTTGAATTGGAGCTGTAATAAACAATGTATTTATAATAAGGATTAAATGGTTTAATAATTAAATGAATGTATAACTTACTCATGACAGAATTTTTGATGAATTTCAGATTTCTTTTCTGGGACTGAACATGTTTTGATTTTGAACAAATTCAAAGTCAGCCTATTATAAACATACTTGTCTGAAATTAACCACTTTAATAAAATTAAGTAGTTGTATTTAAAAGAGATGATGCAGCCTTAGAAGATGAAGTATAATGATGCAGTTTGTACTTTTTAAGAACCAGGTATCCTAAAACAGTACCCAGTAATTCCTCACAGAATACTCATTAGCAACCCAGCCTGTAACAAGCTGTGTGATGTATTTCTACCCAGTAATTGTTTACAAATCTTTATTTGTTCTCACAGGTCTTTATTTTCAAGTTCAAGTTCAAGCAAAGTTTATTGTCATTCTCATCACGTGTGGTACATGAGGTAGAACAAAATTATGTACACAAGGTCCCAGTTACACTCCAAAATAGCAAAATATAAAGTATAAAAAGAAACAGTAAATAAGGATCTAAGTCTAAGAAATACACTAAGATATATGTGTCAAGAACGAAACGTCAAACAGTACGTTAAAAGATCTAAGATACGCTAAACACTGATAATGGAAAACATTATGGCGTACCGAACATGAGTCTGTGGTGAGCAGATGGGTATGAATGAATACAGAAGCATGTAATAATCAGCAGCATGAGATCAGCAGCATGAGATAATCAGCAGCACAGATAAGTCACATGTCACCAATTAAAGTGGCATTACAGTGATTATCCTGGTTAGGGATTTATGAGTCTAACAGCATCAGGGTAGAAGCTGTTCCTCAGTCTAGTGGTTCTACACTTAATGCTCCTCAACCTCCTTCCTGAGGGAAGCGGGGCAAAAAAAAAGTGTGTGCTGGGTGAATGGGGTCCTTCATGATGCAGGTGGCCCTCTTCCTGCATCTGGAGGTGTAGATGTCTGTGGAGGTGGGGAGACTGATTCTGACAGACTTCTGTGCAGCCTTCACCACTCTCTGCAAAGCTTTTCTTTCTGCAGCTGTGCAGCCTCCATGCCACACGTTGATGCTGGAGCACAGGATGCTCTCCACTGGACACCTGTAGAAGGAGGTGAGGACTGAGCTTCCCAGTCCAGCACACTCTAGCTGCCTGAAGAAGTAGAGTCTCTGATGAGCTTTCTTGATCAGGCTGGTAGTGTTGTTGCTGGTTGTCATTCTGGTGCACACCCAAGTACTTGTAGCTGGAGACCACTTCCACCACAGATCCTCCTATGTTTGGAGGGGGGGGGGGGGGGGGGAGGAGGTGTGTTTTCTCTGTCTGAAATCCACAATCATCTTCTTTGTCTTCTTCACATTGATGTGAAGGTTGTTCTTCCTGCACCAGTTCTCCAGGTGTTCCACCTCCTGCCTGTAGCTGGACTCATTGTTTGTGATTCATCCCACCATAACGTCTGCAAATTTTACAATGTGACAGCCTGGATGGGTAGCTGCACAGTCATATGTGAGTAGAGTGAACAGGAGGGGGCTCAAGACACAGCCCTGAGGGAAGCAAAAAGGGTGAGAATTTGAAATACCCTCTGTCCATCCATCATTGCATGTTATGAGCATGAGAATTTGAAAATAAGTGAAGTACTAACTTCCATTTTGGTGTGTAGCTACACACTGGCTCCACCGTTGCACCTCGCTGTGAATAACGTAACACCACTCTCCAGGATTCATCACTGCACTGCATCACACAAGCAAATCAAAATTTATAAAAAATACCTCTGTTCTTCTACACAACATTACTCCTACCCACTTGAATATCTTGCATATATTTTTTACATTGTATGGAGCTAAATACAAAGTATTAAATATTTGAAGTCATAAATTGGCTTTTTGCTTTTCAAACACAATGCATTATCTTCCACAACCTGTCAGTGCACTTAAACGAGTCAATGTGTGAAACCCACTTCTGACCCTTGATCAGCTGACAGAGCAACTGCCAGATTAACTTCATCCTAATTAGTAAAATCCAGCTGACCTGAGGCCTGCTGCGCCACAAGTTCACACAGGATCATTGTCTTTGGCTTGAATTAGCAAAAAGGAAGACATCGGAGGTTCAACCGAAGACTTGTGTTTCAAGGGTAAGAATATTGATGGAATAATTGATGAAGAAGGACAAGATGAAGGATGAGAAGGGGATAATTATTGTTTTCCTAGGGTGAATGTTTTCTCTCATATCAGTGACAACATTTTGGAGTAAAATTCTGATGAGAAATAAAGATGAGAAGTATCTGTACATATGTGCAAAATCATTGTTTTGTGTATAATAATACTTATTGTAGGAACTCGGTTTGATCAAATATTTTACTCCAGACAATAATCAAGAAATATTTAGAGTCAAATCCAGTTCAAAGATATTCAAAATGTTGATTTTATTTACTGAAATAATAGCTGTGACATTTTGACAAGCTCTTTTATCAAAATTACAAAAGATGCTAATCTTGTCTGACAGATGAACTTCAATGAAAGAAATGTTACTTTATAAAAAGCTTAACTGGACTAGTGTGGCTCCTGAAATTAGATCATAAGATAATTTAAATTATACTTTTGCTGCAGAAACCAGACTACAGAAAGCACATAATCTCATCAATAATCTGAAAAAGTTAAGTCTGGTCCTCTGGACATTCAAAAAACAAAACAAACAAAAAAAGTAGAAACGTTTCGTCTTTCATCCGAAATATTTCTTCAGTCTGAGGTGCTGTATACAGACTGAGCTGAATACAGCACCTCAGACTGAAGAAGTCTTTTCGAAACGTTTCTACTTTTTTAGTTTGTTTTGTTTTTTGAATGTTCAGAGGAACAGACTTAACTTTTTCATCTTGTTCTACCTGGATTATTGAGCATGTATCAGGATACTCATCAATAATCCAGTTGTATTTGTTGTGCCAATAATTTATTCACTAAAATGAAAATGAGTGGCACCTGATGTGACTGTCATAACTTTTTGACAGTGTGAAGAATCAGTAACAGCTAAGATTAAAAGTCACCTCGTGAAGGTGTTGCACTTTCCTGATGAAAAAGACCCAAGTCCCTGATGTGACCAAATAATTTTTCTGACTCGCACACTGTAATTTCTCCCCTCGTATGCAGTGAGAAGCTTGCTATGAATAATAAATGCCTGAAGAACATCACCTTTTTGTGCATTGATCCCATTCATCAGACATTTATTATGCATCTGCTGGAAGCCCTGTGGTCTCCCAGGTCCTTCCAGCTCCGGCTAGATGAAGTTGATCCCTCGTACAATGGCTGTTTGCTTTGCAGCATCAGCATTTTAAACAGGGATAGACTGTTAGCAAAAAGGATTCAAGAAAAAAAAAGTGGGTACTTAAATAAACTCTTACCCAAGCAAAAGTGACATTACATAAAATTCATTCTGATAAAGTAAAAATCTGGTCTTTGTAACCTCAAGCAGGACTAAACAGGAACCGAATGAATGCAACAACAACAACAAAAAAAGATAGTAAATGCACAATACAAAGTATTAAATGCACAACATTTCTAGAAATAATGTTTATTTGTCACCTCCTTTATATTTTCATAAATCATAACAGAATTATCCAACAATGTTCAGCCAGGTAATCTGTACGGTTTCTTTTTTTGTGCTGAGACGTTTTACCCTCCATCCGAAGAGCTTCTTCAGTCTGAGGAAACACCACTGATTCTCCACTAACAGCCTACTCCAAAGTGGATGAAACGTCTCAGCACAAAAAAAAAAGAAAGCGTCTAGATGACACGACTGAACATTTTTGGATTTTATACCTGGATTATTGAGCATGGACTTTGGTGTTTTGAACCACGTTGACATGACTGTCGACAAGGGAGAGGGCGGGCACCGGAGGAGAGGGCGTGCCCCAGAGACCATTTTAGCACCATTATAACTGTTTTTTTTTTTTCAATTTGGCGTAAGTTGTTGGTAGAAAATCAGTTTTGTTTGGTGTTTTCTCAGACTCATGAATCTGTTCGGATGGAGGGCAAAATGTCTAAGCACAACACCCCCCCCCCCCCCCCACAACCCCCAACAAAAAACAGAAAAACCACCAACCACCCCCGAAAAAAAAAAAAAAAAAATATATAGACCTGACTGAACATTGTTGGATTTTATACCTGGATTATTGAGCATGGACTTTGTTGTTTTGAACAACAGAATAAGTTATTCTCATTCTCATGCAACATTACAATATGTCACACCAAAGACCATGGGTTGTGAATGACACTCAGCTACTACCACACCACCATCTTGATCTGAGTTGGTTTCAAAATCTCTGGTAGATTTCCCGATTGCTTTAATACAACTCGTTCTGTGATTCATGAAATATTGGGGTAACAGACAAACAGTGTTAACTGTAAATTATTTACTTTGTAAATAAAGATCTTGAAAAGATGTTGATCTTGAATTTCTGTTGAGGATCTGACTCAGCTACTAACACACCAAATCTTTGCTCCATAACTGTAAAATGGACTGACTTAGGTCCTTTTTTTGTGTTTGCTGAGGTTGGTTAGCTGTGTCCAGGCACAGTTTTCAAGGAGGAACTTGAAGTAGACTCACCACTCCTCCACATCGTGAGGAGCCAGTTCAGGTGGTTCGAGCATCTGGTAAGGATGCTTTATGGGCGCCTCCCAAGGGAGTTGCTTCGGGCATGTCCGATTGGGAGGAGACCTCGACAACATCAAACATCAAAAAGTGGGTGGAAAAGGTGAAGCACCCACACTTGCCTCCACCCTTGTTTGCCCCATACTGGCTCCTTGAGCAAGACCATTAACCCCCACCATCTGCTCCCCCATGTGTCCTAGATGGCAGCTCTCTGCTCCACACAGAGG